CATAAATACAGAAGCAGATTTTCATGCCTTTTAAGCATGAAACAAGGATGTTTAGGTTGGTATACCAATCAAATCACCAGATGTGACTGTTTCTAAAATGTTGATTTATCCTAGCAGGAGGATGAAAATAGTGGGGTTGGGGGGAGGGGGCAGGGGAGACAATACAAGTCCAAAAACAGTTTCCAGAGGAGTCTAGAAGTCACTGAGTCACTGCAGCAGCACTGAAATCAGTGTACAGCATTTCCTGATTTAGAACACTGCATTATAGAACAGAAAGATTATCTTAAAGCCAGGCATGGTGGTTCACACCTGTAATCCCAACACTTGAAGTCAGGAGTTTGAGACCATCCTGGACAACATGGTGAAACCCCATCTCTCCTAAAAATACAAAAATGAGCCAGGCATAGTGGCACATGCCTGCAATCCCAGGTACTCGGGAGGATGCGGCAGGAGAATCTCTTGAACCCGGGAGACAGAGGTTGTGGTAAACCGAGATTGTGCCAATGCATGCCAGCCTGGGTGACAGAGGGAGACTCAGTCTCAAAAAGAAAAGAAAATTATGGAAAGCACTTAGCATCATATCAGGCACACAGTCAGCACTCAACAATTCTTGGTTTCTATATGTCCTTTAGAGCTATAGCATCTGTTAGTACTAGGAGTCAGTGTTAATTTTAGGGCCCTAAAGTGATGGTTTAGTAATGGTTTCTCAAGTTCCTTCCAAAAGAGCAATTGCTATTTAGTAAAAAAAGAAAGACCAACTGCTCTTTCAGAAAGAGCTTCAGAAAGGTAGAAGAGTCCACAGTATAGAATACTTATAAAAAAGTAGAATCAAATAAGAATGCAAAAACAGTCAGTAGACGTATAGAGCACTCTTGACATAAATAACTCCATCTTAGAAAAAGATTCCATCTGACATTTCAAAAAGCGCGTTGACAACAGGGACCAGATGCTTTTCCAGATAAAGACAGAATGAAGCATGCTCTTCCACTATCAGTCCTCACCAGAAGACTCTGTGACCATAAAAAGAACAGGACTTAAAAAGCTCAAAATGGTCTCTTAACAGACACTGTCTTGCTGTCACTTGTAATAAACATCTGATATCTCTCTCCAAAGGCTCTGCCCACATCAAAGATTCTTTCTTACAAGACCAGCATACTGCCATAACAAGACCAGACGAGGATACTCCTTTTGTCTACTTGTCTATACCACCCTCCCTGGACTGGTTCATTAACCCTTTTTCCTAGCTCTTTTCTCTTGATGTTCAATGTTACTTTGTTGCAGAATGTCTAATCTATAATATTTATATATTAAGTATACTACTTAATATATGATATTATCGAGTATACTACTTAATATATATTATAGATTAGACATTCTGCAACAATATTCCCAATATTGTTGGTTTACAATATTGACTACCTAGTGAATGAGAAGTACAAAAAAAAATTGCCTCCTTGAGAACTCCATGTAACTTGTGACTTTTGTAATTGAAATAACACAGGCTGGGGGCGGTTGCTCAAGCCTGTAATCCCAGAACTTTGGGAGGCCAAGGCAGGCAGATCACGAAGTCAAGAGATCGAGACCATCCTGGCCAATACGGTGAAACCCCGTCTCTACTAAAAATACAAAAATTAGCTGGGCGTGGTGGCGTGCGCCTGTAGTCCCAGCTACTCGAGAGGCTGAGGCAGGAGAATTGCTTGAACCTGGGAGACAGAGGTTGCAGTGAGCCAAGATTGTGCCACTGCACTCCAGCTTGGCGCCTGGCAACAGAGTTAAGACTCTGTCTCAAAAAAAAAGAAATAACACAAAAGTCTGACATTGTGAGAAGACACAAACATGTGTGTACCTGGTTATCCCTGACCTTACAACATTCACAACAGTAGATTAAGCTGTTAGGAAGTCAGAGTTGACCTTTGGAAGAGCAGTTCCAGTGGTCAAAGTAGGATGAGGAGAGGCAGTACATGCAGAATAGTCTTTAATAAGCTTAGTTTTTAGAGTAAAAGAGAAGAGGCAGAAGCTGAAAAAGCTGCCAAATTACAGATCAGATTGGCACAGTTTTTTTAGACAGGGTCTTGCTCTGTTGCCCAGGCTGACCTGGGAACAATCATATGCAGTGGCACAATCATAGCTCACTGCAGCCTCAATTTCCTGTCCTCCCGCCTCAACCTCTTAAATAATTGGGACTACAGGCCTGTGCCATCATGTCTAACTAGGTTTTTCTAAAGGGCGGGTACTGTGTCTACACGGCAATAAGTCCAGTGTGATGGTAAGTGCATGAGCTACAGAGTCAAAGAACTGGGCCTAATTTTCTTTTCTCATCAACTGGTGAAAAGTGCTCTAAACTAGTCTTCTCATACATTTGTAACGATAGGTGGCCTGGGCCCTGGGTCACAGAGCAATGACAGGTGGAGGTGGGAAGATAAAAATAAAATCTTTCATAATTTCTTTCTTTTTTTTTTTGAGATGGAGTTTCGTTCTTGTTACCCAGGCTGGAGTGCAATGGCGCGATCTCGGCTCACCGCAACCTCTGCCTCCTGGGTTCAGGCAATTCTCCTGCCTCAGCCTCCTGAGTAGCTGGGATTACAGGCACGTGCCACCATGCCCAGCTAATTTTTTTGTATTTTTTTAGTAGAGACGGGGTTTCACCATGTTGACCAGGATGTTCTCGATCTCTTGACCTCGTGATCCACCCACCTTGGCCTCCCAAAGTGCTGGGATTACAGGCTTGAGCCACCGCACCTGGCTCTTTTTTTTTTTTTTTTTTTTTTTTTTTGAGATGGAATCTCACTGTGTCACCCAGGCTGGAGTGCAGTGGTTCAATCTCAGCTCACTGCAGCCTCTGCCTCCTCAGGTTCAAGCAATTATCGTACCTCAGCCTGCTGAGTAGCTGGGCCAGGCATAAGCCACCACACCTGGCTAATTTTTGTATTTTTAGTAGAGGTGGGGGTCTCCCCATGTTGGTCAGGTTGGTCTTGAACTCCTGACCTGAGGTGGTCCACCTGCCTCAGCCTTCCAAAGTGCTGGAATTACAGGCAAGAGCCACCATGCCCGGCCTTTCATAATTACTTTATTTGAATTTTTTAAGAGTCAGCATTTATTCAACGATATGTAATTCTTAAATATAAATTACGCAAATAAAACATCTAAATAAACAAGAGAGAAGCCCCCCTACACAAGAAAATTAGTGTTTAATCAATAGTATTACGATTCCAAAGTCTATTTCAGTGTCTAAAACACTCTGGGCAATTTCAACAGCAGCATTTTTCAAATTCTAGACCAAGAAAATCTCTTTTATTTACACATGTACATTTCCACAGATAAAATCTACCTTTCAAAGCAAATCTAATTATACTTGAATTTTGAGAATACTTTATATATAAGGCCACTGATGTACATAAAATAATTATCAATTGAAAATACAGCATTTTCCTGAAGCAATATAAATCTGGTTTTGAGATATTCCAGATTATCTGCAACTATCCCAGGATGTGCCATAAAACACTCAAAGCTACTAATTTAATTGTTAAAACATGCCTGTAGGGTGGGACATAACGGCTCACACCTGTAATTCCAGCGTTTTGGGAGACAAAAATTAGCTGGACGTGGTGCGTGCCTGTAATTCCAGCTACTTGGAAGGCTGAGACAGGACAATCACTTGAATGAGGGAGGCAGAGGTTACAGTGAGCCGACAACCTGCCACTGCACTCCAGCCTGGCAAGGGAGCAAGACTCCCTC